AAAATAAAATAAAACGAATACAATATGCAAATTATCACAACTCTAGGCGCTCATACTACTTATTACATTTATATACAGTTTATAGCTAGCTACTTTTTGAAAAGATACATCAGCGAGTCATCATTAAGTGAGTGAAAAAAAAAATCTCAATATGCTCAACTTCCTGCTTTTTCTATGGAATTTCTTTTGTAACTGTGACATGATTTTCTTTTCTTTATTTCACAACGCGAGCGTTTGCGACTTCAACTTTTCTTTGCTGCCTTTCGAAATTAGCAGTAGAATTATTACATGAGTTACTTACTAAAATATTCAAGATTTCGTTTCGTTTTTTTGTGTCTTGATACATTTCAAGTTGAAATTTTCAACTCGTTGCATTGCGAATGAAGGAAGATAGCATAACTCGCTAGTTTCATGCATAAAGTGCATTCAGTGAAGTAAATATTTCTCACTTCAAATGCATATTTATTTATTTCTTTAGAGAAAATTATAACGCTTTTAAAAAAAAGTTTCACTTTTTGTACTCATCTTTTACATCATCGTCTTATTATGATACACGCAATAATAATAATAATATGGATGTATCTTTTAAATTGGTCATGCTAGCCTTTTCATATAATTCGCATCATCTTATTTAATGAAAAACATTCAAAAGATGCCTTTACAGAGTTTAAAGTAATTAAATATGATATTTTGGCAAAAAAAAAACATTGTTTATATGTTCGATCTTAAATATGTCAGAGGGTATGCGATTCAGCTATATAATGTCACGCGTATGCAAAATAATCTCTTAAATGCCAATAATTCTCAATATCTTGATTTCAACTGGATTTTGAAGCATCAATTAGAGAAATATATCAGAAGTGATCTTTAACCAAAGGAGTAGTGATAAATTTTGTGCCAAATGACACATAAAATACTTCTTAACAACTCAGGAGCCGCTATAACACCATACCTCAAAGCTAGGACAAGTGGCTTTTTCAATGTTGCCATGAAGGCTTTAATATAGTCTTAAAATGGTTTCTGTGCGTACATTAGTCAACAGTGACTTTATTATGGAAAATGTCACAGTTCCTAACATGAATCTATAGAGATAAAGCAACAACTAAGTATCCACTAGTATCACAAGTATACAGATTGAGTATCACCCGAAAATGTCACCATGACAGGTTTATTTTCTCACATCTCTTCACAAAACTACTCAACTCGAGTAAAAAGCATTCAGCATAATGTAAATAGCAACTTTATTGATCAAGCACGATTGCATAAAAGTTACAGAAAAAAAAAATCAAGGAAATGACACAATGTACTTGCGCTTATACAATTTTTTAATCATGTTAGAATCAAATGTCCTTGAAGCGAAGCAGTAAAGGAAGTTAACGCAAAAAGAGTCCGTGTTGAAGATTATTATTGTTTTAAATTGTAAATGTCATGATGTAAATTTTGCCATAAGTCAAGCGCCCTTGTCGTTTTGCCAAAAAAGTGCCTCATTAATCAATTATCAAGCACATTGAATTTGCATAAAAAAAAATCATTGTCAAATTTGTTAAACACGAAATGACCCTAGGTTAAATTTCTCGCTAATTTCATACTCAAACTTCCCATTGACGTTCGAATTATTTTGTGAGGTAATTGCCGAGTGACTGAGTCTCATGATCACGCTTCATAAAATTCTTAAATCTACTATTTGAACATTTAATTTGAGGTTTTTTTCCTCTCTACTTCCGCAAGTAGTTAATTAATGAAAAACTCACAGCCAATCGAGATAGAGAACGAGAAAAAGTATCAATGAACATTTCATTGAATGAAAAAAAAAATTTAAAGTGAGAGAATATATAAATTAAATTATTAATAGAGTGCACCCAGCACATTGACGACAATTTCCTATTGTTGCATGCTAACCTTATAGGAAGTTTTAATCGCTTTTATCATACTTTGATTGCATTTTAATTATTCATCATTACCAATGAGGTGAAACAACATCACAATTTTTAATTTATTATTCTTATTTTTTCTGAATAATCGATCTGATCAAAACTTCCGTATTTGCATGAAAACAAATGCTTTATAATGAATGACTGTAGTTTTTATGTGTACGTGCAAACTTTTGAATCATTTAAGTTTGATGCAATTTTCGAATAACGGGTTAGGGGCGAGTTTATAAATGATGTTAAACATTTAGGGTTGATCTACAAGTGTGTGACATTTTCGTACAAAAAAATGTTTTTTAGTTTTTAAAAGATTTCGATATTAGAGGGTAACTCGAAGGTCGTCGATTGGAATCCAGCCATTTCCAAATTTGTTCTTTTTCGTAAGTCGACTGCTAAATGTACGAAATTAAGCAAAAATATGGCATTTGGTTAACGTTGGATTAAGGAATGGGAGAAAAAGGAACCAGAGCAACAAGATTGCCTGAATAATTGAATGTTGTCTAACAGACCCGCTGATAATTTTTCACCCACTTCTTTATCACCTAAGATGGTTAGTAGGATCATATCCCATTGAAAAGTAGACATCATATAAGAATGCAACCCATAAAATAAATGTATCAATTCTAAGTCTATTGGATTATAAAATGACATGAGCTGTACAAATATAGCAATTCAAACAATAGCAAATAAGTAAACGACTATATGGACATAAACATATATTGAACATACATTCCAAATAATATTGTACAGATTTAATAAATTTATTCATGCCTTTTAATTATTGCCAATTAAATAAATTAAATTCTCAAATTGTAACATATATCGCCTTTAGAATTGTCGACACAAAATGTGTGGAACATGTTTTTCCAAGCGAATGCTCAAGAAATAAGTAAAGAGCATAACAAAAGGGTTTACATTTATATAGGTACTTCATTTGTGACCTACTTTTTTCCGAAGTCTCATTTTTTAATAAATGTAAAAAAAATTGCATCGTAATTCGTAACATAAATATACAATACAGGACTGAAAATAACAAACAATTTCAATGCTTCACATTACGATATTGTAAGAGCCATAAAAAATTATGCTCAATTTTAAACGTATACAGGATGTAAGCTCTGAAGCACATCGGAGATGGATGAACAAAAAAAGAGAGATCCAGACAATTTTTTCGGTCTGTATATGTATGTATGAATTAAAAAGACAATTTAACAATAATGCACGCATTGCAGACGGCAAAAAATTTCAATATTTAAACTATAATTTTTAATGCAGAGAAATTATCGTTCGTTGGGTTACAAATGTGCAGTGAGGAGCAACAATAAAAGATTATTTCATTTTTACTTTTTGCAATTTTGCGGTTCATTGTCTGAGAGTCACAATAATATTATTGCACTTTTTTATTGCACGACTGTAGATCGTTCATTTTGTAAGCTAATAAATTAAGAATTCAGAGAAAGAGTGCATACATATTAAGAGCATCAATGAACACGTTCAATGCTGAATTGTTAAGAAATTGATCGTATTGTAAATAAATGTACAAAAGAGTCTTCTGTGAAGGAAGATCGTCTTTTATTTTTTATGCTAGAGTTCATTAGTGAAGTATATCAATTTTCATAAACAGAGTGACTTTTTTTGGATAATTGAAAAAGGATGAGCTCTTAATTTGATTAGAAATTATTACATAATCGATTGCTTCCAGCACCTAAACCTTCAATTAAAATTCAAAATATTCCCAAACCACCTCAACTTCATAAAAAACCAACTTAAAGCTCATACTATTGAGTGATTCTCATAAAGCAATAACACCATAAATATAAATAATTACTCACCTTATCATTTACAACCACCGCAGCAATCAGGCTCTTTATTGAGCGCTTTACTCGTTGTACGTCAAATCTTGACACCTCTTGATTTATTGAAGGTTCCTACGACACAATTGTTGAAGATAATTTGATATTTTATCTTTTTAATCTTTAAGTTTTGATGTCACGACAAACATTTGTTCATATGTAAATGTCTAATGGATTTGTTGATAAAACTATTAAAAGTTGTGATATATTTCCTAATATACAATGTTGAAAGATATGAAAAGTTGTCACTTGAATCCTAATTTTGACCTTAATCCAATATATCTGCAAATAAAGAAATGAAATCAATTAGTTAAAGTCACAACAAGAAAAATTTCTTTATCGCTAATTTTCCACATATATTGTCACAAGTTATAATGAATTGTGAAAGTTGCAATTATTGATAATTGTAAAGTGAAATTAAGCAAGATTTCTCGACACAATTGGAGAACAGCTGAATAGGATATTCAACGCCCACATATGATTTATTCGCATTTCATTAAAAGAAAAAAAAGATACGAAAAAGGAATGAAATTTTCAATTGCCACGCTTAACTTACTGACTGTGTGGCTTAAGAGATTAATAAATAAGTCTGATAAGTCATAATAAAATGTTTTAAGGAGTAAAATAATGAATTTATATTGTGCTGCAATCATACACAGCACTATCTCAACATTTGTAGCATAACAATGAGACATCATCATTAACAAAAGAAACATTTCAAAAGGTGTGAAGCTTAAAAGCCACAAAAAAACATCGCATTTGTGTCAATATTTATCTCATTTTATGTTTTTTAAATGAACTATATCCGATACACGGCAATAGTAATGAAAATGATGGCAAGTAAAGAGCCGATTTCTTTTTTTTAAAAGTTATGATGACCTTAAACTGAATAAATTTTTGGTTTAAAAGCTTTGTCTCTTCATCTTTAACATTTTGGTCATTGAAATTTGACTATTTGCAGTCAACATTATCTATGTAACACATATCTGTTCTCCTTGTAAGTTTTTTCTTGAGTGCTGAAAGAAATATGCTTGAGAATCATTGAAATATGAAGTTGTTTATTTGAAATTTTTAGCATTTGCTTCATTTAATTTTGAATTCCTTGCTTGCGTTACATAAAATTGTAAGTTTGAAGATTCTGACATCTTTTAACTTAGTGTTTAATTATGAAAATCATAATGACTGTTTCAATAAAGATCGCTAGGGCGAAAAATAACAATTAATTAGCAAACTTTTCACTTTTTATAACTATTTTCTTAAATTCTTCTTCAGCTTTTTCAATAGCTTCTTTGGCTTTCCTAATCGCTTCTTCTTTCGTCTTATATCCTTTGATAATATTAATCACAGTGTCAACATCTTTAATCCAATCATCCTTAAAATCAATTTTTGGGTGATCTTTTTTAATCTTCAAAAATGCTTCCAACTTTAGTTTCTTGTGTTCATACTTATTACTTAATTTAAGAATGTCCATTGCATTTTCTTTGTTAATCATAGAAATTATTTTCTCTGCAGCGAAATCCTTTAGTGCCTCCATCTTTAACTTTCCAGCAGCAGCAAATAGATCAAAGAAATTTGTTTCTTTATGTGGAAACTCATCAGTATAGAGAAAATGCAATATCTTCTCAAAAATGTCAACTGGAATGTCGACTAGATTTAAATTCTCAACATCCGGATTGTTCTTCAAAATTTCAGCAAAAGTTGGACTTTGAGCAGCTAGCAGAATCTTATGAACTGGAAGTTTTTGATCGTCGATTTGAATATGAAAATCTTTAAATGATTCATCTGTTTGAAGGAAACGCTTGATGTCTGATTATATGCTTTTCTTAGCTCCATTTTTTTGATCTTCAATTTCTGTACGCAATATTTCTATTGATTCTTTCAGTACCCGATTTTCTTCCTCAACTTTAAGCCCCGCTTTGAGCAAATCTTCAACATTTTTATAATCTCTATAGAACCGGACAAAAAGCTCATCTTTTACTTCTTGAAGTGTCGCATTCGATTTATTTCTTGGGATGTCAATGAAGCATTTAGTGAAGGCTGGATTATTTTCAAAACTGGCTATTTTAATTTAGTGAGTCCATTTAAAATACTCGGTTCAATGATTGTTAATTTATTTCCACTAAACGAAACTTCTTCCAGATTATAAAATTCTTCAAACAAGTCACCAGGTAAGTATTCGATTTCATTGCTGCAAAATCCAATTTTTTCTATATTTTTGTCCTCGGCTAAGTCATTCCTAGAGACATTTTTCAGAGATGAATTCCAAATGCTAAAGATCTTCATATTTGGGAAGATTCTTGGTAGTCCTTGCGGAACTTTAGTAAGATTGCATTTGTTGAAAATAACACCCGTAACATCAATGTTATTCTTTAGATTTCCTCTGCGACTATATTGATGCGAACCATCTGGTATTATTTTAAGGTTGTCTGGGATATTTTGCTCGACAAATTCGCAAACGTACACTTCTTTGTTATCAAGAAATGCATTATCTCTGAAAATACACGGAATTTTCATCTCTGGATATTTCCAAGGCCATAGAACTCCCAAAATAGTATACCCGTGAGTGAGCATTGTGCAGTAACGTATACAAACTATTGCGCAAAATTAAGTTAACATGAGCAAAGTATAGTTAAATATTGTAAAGTGAAGCAAAGTTAACCAAAGCATAGTAGAATGTAGCAAAGTGTAGCAAAAGTGTAGCAAGTGTAGTTTAAGTGTAGTAAAGTGTTGTAAAAGTATAGTCAGTATAGTGAGAGTATAGCAAGTGTAGTAAAAGTATAGAAAGTGCAGCAACATAAAACTGTTTAAAACTTTAAAAACCAAAATGTTTAAAGTTGATTTTGAATTAATTTTGAAGTAATGTTTATTTTACCATTCAATTTATTTATAAATAGTCAATATTATCGCAACTTAAGAACCGCTTATTATTTGAAATTTTATATATAAAATATATTTAAAATGTAAATATAAATGAAGCTTTTCTCATGTAAAAAATAAAACTATTGAACTAAATTCAAATATTTCAACATTAAGGATGCCTTCCTAATTACGAAGAATAGTAACGAAAGAATAGTGAGAATCAATGTTTTTGATATTGTTGGTTTTAGAAAAAATTAAATGTTATCAACACTTTTGATATATATTTTTAAAAAGTTTTTTTTGGAAAGTTAATCTTGTTGAAATAAAAAGCCAACATATTATTACAAAATAAATTTAAAATATTGTTTTTCTACAGTCCCTTCATTCAATTTCGAAATGCAAATAAATTGAAACTAATTTATATGAAGCTTGTATTTATAGCTTTTTTTAAAAATTTAAACTTAACACAAATCGTCCTCATTAGTTTTTTTAATATAAGCTTACGTGAAAAAATCAAATTCGAGTCAATTCGAATTAAAATTTTTCATAATTTTTTAAAAATTTTTTCAATTAAAATTACTCATTTTTAAAAACAAAAGCACAACATTTTAGATTTTTTTTAAATTTTTCGATTTTTCTATACTATACTTTTATTTTATTTTTGACAAATTTCCTTACAAACTAAAGGTATCAATTAGAAATTTCTTTGACATGAATGAAACTATTTCTGCCTTAGTAGCATTAGTGCTTTATGTTTTTGTAAGCTCTTTCTTTTCCATCAGCTAAATATGGTTTAAAATGATAGAATAATAAAAAAATAAAAAAATAATATTTTAAATTCTATAACCTTTAGTTAAGTTTTTAAACATTTTCTTTTAAATTTTTATAATGATTGCAAAATCTTTTATTTTATTTTTTGTTTTTTGAAAGTATGATTACAACGTATTAATGGACCACATGTTTAAGAGGCCTATAACTATTTAGATTGAAATTATGCACTAATTAATTTGATTAAAAATAAAGTACAGAAAAGTACGAGTAAAGTGCACTAAAGTGTAGTAAAGGGTAGTAAAGTTAAGCAAAATGTACTTAAGTATACTAAAGTAAAGTAAAGTAAAGTAAAGTGTAGTAAAGTATAGGTTAATGTACTTAAGTAAAGTAAAGAGTAGTAAAAAAGAGTTAAGTGCAGTAAAGTTTAGTAATTGCAGTGATTGTGATACATTGTATAGTAAGTGTACTGAAACATAAGTAAAAATTTATAAAGTTGAGTAAAAAAGTAGTGATTGAAGACATAGTGCAAGGAGTTCTATGGCCTTGGATATTTCAATGGAATGAATGATCTGAAAATAAATATAAAATTATCATAATTTAAGCATTATTGGATAATATCAGTAAGTAACATAGTTAAACGATTTTTTATGATTTACTTCCTTATCTGACTAAAGAACTGTTTAACGTGTTTGAAGGTATTTAAACTAATTCAATTCACCGACGTAGATGCACATTTCAAACTATTGCAGAGATCATTTAAAACTTAGTCCTTTTATTATTTAGAATAGAAAGAAATTTTGATGTATTTTCTTATTCTATGGTTAATTATTTTTAATGATAGACGATTACAAAATAATTACTTTATAAATTCTGACATTTTATAAAGCACGACTTATGTTTACGATCAACCAAATACAAATCCTTAATTTCAGGGTTGTCTTTTAAAATACCAGCTAAAGCTGGACTAATGACAATCTTATGAACCAGAAATTTAGGTTCTTTAAATTTGATTCAATATTGTACCTTGAATTTCTTTTGAAACCGACATATTTCAATTTATTCAATCCATCCAAAATGTTTGGCTCGATAAAATCCAATTTTTTTGGCAAGTTTGGCATTCAGCAAGATCATTTTTGATCACATCCTTCAAACTCGATTCCCCAATATTCAAAATTCGAAGATTCGAAAAAGTTTTAGTCAATCCTTGAGGTACTTTTGGTATATCACATTCACACCGTCAACATCAGCATTATTCATTTGCTCAATTCGGTCATAGAATTTGTGCAATCGATCTGGCACAATATAAATATTCTAAGTATATTCTGCTTGCTGAATTCACAAACGTAAGTTGTATGTAAAGTTGAATACATTTAACAAACATTTACACTTTAAATTGATAAATAAATATTTATAGAGCTTCGATAACCCAAAAAGTATTGCAAAAATTTCATCAAGCTGTAGCAGGAAGTTGTTTATGTAACAAAGGTCATTTAAATATTCGAAAGTATTTTCATTAAAATAATAATGCATAAAATAATACTAAAATAGGAAATATGAATAAAAATTCAAAGACGTTCATCGAAGGTGTGAACAATTCTATCAAAAAATCGTAATAATGTCCCTCGGGTAAAGATTGACAGTAATGCCAAGCCACGGCATGCATTTATCCTTGACCTCATTTTTCTTCTTTTAAGCCAGCAGTCATTAGTTCAACTGAATCATAATTTCCTTAATTATGCTCATTCTAAGAGCGCCATTTTTCATTTCAATAAGAAATAATTTTTTAGCATTGAAATCAAGAAAAGAGAAAATAGAAAAAAAAACTTTTAATTCTCTCAAGTTCAACAGGGGCAGAATGTAGCATTACTAGTAAAATGCAAACTTATTAGCAGTACAAGTTTTGTTATGAAACTTTTTATTGAAAAATATATAGGAAGTTCAATTTTATTTTGAAGCATGCATTTAAAATAGAAACATTGAATGTCATCGGGAGAAAATTGCTCATAGAAAATTCACTCACATTTCAATTAAAAAACTCATTGAAACGTCATTTTGTACAGAAAGAAAGAGAAAGAACGATGTGGAAATGATTGTTATTGATTCTAGACAATGTAGCATGCCATAATGTGCATTGTAGGATCAAGGGTATCTCTGTACTTTGTGTATGGTTACAAAATTGAAGATCAAACTCAAGGAATCTTAATAAAACCTAGTATAGAAAGTCCATCTAATCCAGCAAAATTTGGCTAAACTCTTAAATTTAACCCATGAAACAACAGATTAAGCCGATGTCAAATACAAACTCATTACGAATATAAACAATGAAGTATTTCCTCGATTTCATATGCTCAACATAAGATATTGGAATATTTTTGTGGATACTTGCCTTTATTTGAACAAACAATTCCACAAAATGCAAAACGACTTACTCTATGCTTATGAGACACACACAAAAAAAGAAGTAAGATTTCAACATCCTATAACCTCGATGAGGCCCTCAATACATTATATGCACTGCGCATTTCATGGAAATTTCATATAATATTCATTTTTCTTTAACTTCACGTTTTTCAATATTTTTATTTTTTTTCTTTTCTTTATCTCTTTTTCTCATTTACTTACATTGTAATAAATAGAAAACATAAAGCTGAGCGCGTAAACGAGACATTTATTGCCCAATTTTCTTTTTTTTTTGGTTCATCCGATATGATGTTTGTGGAAAGAGATATTTCACAAGTAGGTCTCAAGAAAGAAAAAAAGGTTTTTAACAATCTATTGTATTCAAATTTCGTTCAAATTAATTTTAATTGCTATCTTACTTATCTGAATCATAAAGTTATTCCTACCTAGAGGATATCGAATAATTTAATGACATCCACAAAAATATTCAAAATTGATTATGACACAAAAGCACTAATTGCTATTTTTAATTCATGAAAGCATTCATAATAGACAATTTAATAAAAATGTCATCAATTGATCAATTAATTTGTCGAACATTATGCAATTGCTGATAATTTAGTATGTTATGAAATTAATCAGAATAATTGATTAAATGAATTACTTAATAGATATTGTGCGTATGTAGGAAATTGAGTCAATTGTGTGTGGTTTGAACAATGATGCATGATGAGTTGATGCTTAGGAATTAGTTAATCATCAAGTTGTTCTACAGAACTTCAATATATAGGATTACAGAACGGTAAAAGCCAATGAAACTAGAATTACTACAATTCCTAACGACAGCCTTACTCACGCTATATCTCACAATCTGCTTAATATAAAAATCATTTCCATACTTCCGTATTCCTTGCCAAAAAGAGTCTCATCAACACATCGAGACGAGAATCGAAGACTACATAATTAAAATTTAGAGTCAAGATCATGAATGCTCTATCAGCATCATCTGCATAATGCTCAGAAAAAATGATAATCATAGCAAAATCAGTTTTATAGCTCAATGAATCTAGAATGAGCGAATTTCCATGTACCTAATTTCAAAGCTTTGAAATTATGCCATTATTGCCATTATTAATATTTTTTTCATATTTTCTAGTTTGTTGCCGACAGTAACAACAGGCACAAGATTATATACACATCTAACGTCAAAGCCATTAAATGGATAAACTTTATGAATTTTTCATTTAATCGGTTTTTTTTTCTTGTCTTTTTGTCCTCGACCTCATCAAGTATACAATATATATACATGTGCTTTACGTACATTTATCTTCCGATTTTTCCCTTACACACTTACTCGTGTTTCTTCTTTTCCTTAAAACAATTTTTTTTTCCCTTCCATCTGAAGCCCTTGAACGCTACAATGGCATTTTCCTACGAAAATATGTATCATAAGTATGAAGAGGAAAAATGTATAATGAAAAGAATAAAATAAGAAGAACGACTCTAACCCTGAACTTTACATTGGTGTGCGAGCTTCGGAA